GGGGGGTCCTGCAGAGCCCTGGGCACCTCAGAACCCTGCGGGCCCCCCTCGTGGGGACCCCCGAGCGGTCCCCGCTGCTGCGGGGCCGCCGGAGCACGCCGAGCTGGCCTTTGTGTGCCCCGGGGCCCCAGGATGGAGCTGTGGGCACCCAAAAACACGGGGGACCACCCCGGACTGCCTGGGGGGGCATGGCGAGCTGGGGCTGTGGGGGAAAGGCATCCTGAGCCCCTTCAGCTGCAGGAGAGGCGCTGCGATTTGGGGTCCAAGGGGTGCAGTGGGGCTTGGGGGGGTCAGACCGTGCCCTGTGACCCCCCCCGGTTGGTTTTCTTGGCCCCCCCGGTGTTTCTGCGTGTCCCCCCCGCAGGGGAACTGAGCCCTTGTGAGGTCTGTGTGTCCCGTGAGTGGGTTGTGGCTGCCCCTGTAAATAAAACTGCATCTTGACTTGGTATCCCTGGCATTAATTACAGCTCGTTAATTAAACAGGGCCTTTACCCCTCCCACCTCCATCTCCACCCACTCCATTCAGCACGGGGGGGGGAGGGCCGGATTTGTTTTTATAAGACCCAGAAGTGTGGGTGGGTAGGAGAGCGGCTCCCAGGGCAGGAAGGCGACCACTGGGGTGACTTGACACCCTTTATTTGCATTAAAAAGTCCTTGGGAAGAAGCCACGGCCCGTTCCAGTGCTGTCCAGCTCCCCCAGAGCTGGGGCTGGGGACGGGCAGTGGAGTCTGGGGGGGGCACAGCCCCTTTTTGGGGGGCAAAGTCCGGCAGCGAGGCTGGGACCCAGCGCGGGGACGGAGGCCGCGGTGCCGCCCCGGCTCACCCCGCCTGCCCGTACAGCCCGAAGGCCAGGAGGGTGACCAGCACGGTGACACCGATCAGCGACACGGTGGCCGGGGCCGTGAAGAGCTGCCGGTAGTTGATGCGGAAATACCAGCCCAGCGCCAGCACCACCATCACCGTGGGCACCATCAGCGTGCCCCCGGCCAGCGGCAGCCCCGGGGCGGCGGGGCCGGCGGGGCCGGGCTCGGGCAGGGCGGCGGTGGCCGCGGTGGTCCCCCGGGAGCGGTGGCAGTGGATGACACAGTTGTCGGTGATGCGGAGCGAGCGCAGCGTGCGCGCCTGGTCCTGCAGCAGCTGCCCGCGGTAGATGAGCTTCATCTGGGCCTCCTGGCCCGGGAAGCATTTGCTGCGGGAGGAGGGAGGAGGGTGGGGGCGGCGGAGACCCCGGACCCGCCCGGGGAGGGACCCGCCCGGGCTGGGAGTCCCCCGGACCCACCCGGGCTGGGAGCCCCTCCGTTAAACGGGGAGGGTTCACCACGGCACCGCCACCGCCGCCTCTTTCGAACTTGCTGTCTCAAAGCCCACACCCCCCGGTATTTTTGGCACATCGGGAGGGATGAACGCCCTCCCCCGTCCCGTGGGAAGCGGCTGTTCGCAGCGG